CGGTCATGGAGAGTCTCCATCCAGCTGGATCACTGTCACAGGTGACACACTCACCTGTCTGTGTTTCTGCAGCTTTCAACATTCACAATGTGACGACAACTTAATGACTGTGTTTGCTTTATTTTAGACAAACACACCACCACACCTCCACCTACATCCACACCTCCATCTACATCACTCTCTCCTCCTGTTCTCTCTGCGTTGACATGTGTTGGATCAGTCTCTGTTGTGGTTCTACTGGTGTTACTGGTTCTGCTGGTGAGACGACATGCCCAAAGGAAACCTAAAGGTGAGTTCTAGATGTTACAGATTTTACATGTGTAATTTTTTTTTGTTGAGATTAAAATCAATCTGCTAGATAGCTTTTTGTAACCTCAGACTTTATGGGAACATAACACAATCACAGAAGCATACTAATTAGTGTTAAGCAGCATCCAAACACAATGTTGTATTGTCATTCACCAAAGCTTGAGCACAGACTTTCTTTGTGTTCTCTTAGTACTTTTATCTACACAGGAGTTGCATTATCTGTAAGACACTTGCATTAAAAATGGACCAAAACCGCATACAGAGTCCAGAGGTTCAGAGTTGAAGCTGAGCAGACAGTACCAAATTTAATTAATTAATTAATTAATGTAATTTGGCACAGTTGTAGAAGTAGCAATACATCTTTCAAAAATGTTATTTTTATTTTATTATTATACATGCAATTTATGTGTATGGGACACATAACTTAGAGATATGTCTCTCTCCATCCATTTATACAGTAGCTTTATAATAACTGCCAAATTATGTAGCATATATCACTTCTTGGTTGATAGACTTCTTATGTGTTATGGATAACGATTATGGAATAGAGCAATCCTCAGGCAGCAGAAACCCAAGAAATAGGAACAAATGGAGGAACCATCATGAAACGGCAGGCCCCTGCATGGTATGTACCACCGGCAGATAGAGGAGGTAACTGACATCCAGAAATCCAACTTCCAATTGGCTGGACAAAGCTGGACAAAGCTGGACTGAATGTTTAAAGACAGCTGCAGTGATAGACGAAGTAATACCGTTTGACAACAACATCAGGAAGAAGGAACACGAGAAACATGAGATATACCAAGGGCTCAGAGAAAAGCTCAAGAAGATGCGAAGGGTGAAGGTAACAGTGGTAATTGGAGCACTAGGTGCAGTGACTCCCAAGCTGCTGGAGCGAGTGACTCCAGCAGATCCC